CTCTTGGTAATGGGATCTCACTATTTCTAGTATTGTTTGAAGGGTAGATTTTGTTTCATCCCAAAATTGTCCTTGTTGTGCCATTCTGTTTTAGCTACCCAAGTGCTTAAGCCAAGATTCAAAGTCCCCAAGTCTCACAGTCCAGATCGATGATTGTATCTGTGTCCTAATTGATCCCTGGCAAATTAATGCCAGCTAAACAGATATTCCAAGTTTCCAGAGTCATTTCAAAAAGTCCGCTTAGGCTAAATAGGCCTGAACCAAATTAGAACCCCCAAAGTACCAGGGTAGAATGCAATGGTTGCCTAATTCCCACAGGTTTACTAATTCCTAAGGCACAGTTTTTTAAAAGTCCACTTTAGGGTTAATTTATCCAGCCAGGCATAAAAAAATCAAAAAGAAATAAACAAGTTTCCAAACTTTAAGCAGCAGTACAGTACTCAAGGTCACTGTCCTGGGCTTTATGCCAAAAGACTTCAGGTAGACAAAACAAAGTCCAGACTTATCAAGTATAACTTATGAGAAAATTTCTTAAGATTTATAACGCCAAATTATAATATTCTTGAAGTATAATTTAAATGTATTTGAATGAGTAGTTAATGTCCCATTAATCTTTAAATTATTTTCTTTGCATCAGCTATCCCTCTGTCCAGATTTTCTGCCGCTGTATGATTGCTGAGATTGATAGCAGGTTCTTTTTTCTGTATATAGGAATTGTCTTCTCCAGGGATAATCATAAGCAATTAGTTGTAAAAATATATCTCCCCCGATAGTAACACTGATGCCAGATAGCTGATTCTTGCTTCTCTTAGCTGGCTGCCGACAACTTGCAAGCAAGCCCAAGCTGCTTGTTTCTGCCCGTTGGCTGATTAGGGAGTTTTCTGGATCAAACAGGGATGACCGCTGTCCCCCCTATGATCAACAGGCTTCCCCCCCAGTTCACCACCTCTTCGGGGTGGTTTCGACACCCTGGGGTGTCCCAAACAGGTCAGAATTCAGCCCAGGGACAGAGCTCTGTCCTCCTGCTGCTGTCTCGTTGCGGCATCAAGCCGGAAGTCTGAGCTTTCTTTTACTTTTCATTCACATTGCAGACAGAGAAATGTAACCAGAACTAAAGCCCAGGAATTTTATTTGCATGTGTTTTTTTTAAACTAGATTCTGTTCCCAGAAAACATAGCACAGTAATGTAGGACAAAGTGGGCAAAGTGTAGTCCTTTGTCAGAGTACAGTTCCCATCAGTTTTACCCTATATAGCTAATGGTGTAGAATACATGAAACTACAGTCCAGTTACATCTAGGAAGCCACACTCCTGCTGTAAGAGAAGATGGAAACTCTATTGCCATTCAAAGGTGGAAGTGGGATGAATCCTAGAACCTAAGGAAAAAAAACTAGTGGTTGTTGTGGGTTTTTCGGGCTCTTTGGCCGTGTTCTGAAGGTTGTTTTTCCTAACGTTTCGCCAGTCTCTGCAGCCGGCATCTTCAGAGGATAGCACTCCGTGCTCTGGTGTAGTTGGCTTGGGAGTGGAGTATTTAGAACACGGCCAAAGAGCCAGAAACACCCACAACAACCATTAGATCCCGGCCATGAAATCCTTCGTGAATACAAAAAAACCTAGGTGGGAGATGCAGACTTGGCAACATCTTATAGTGAGAAGAGTTGAAAGGAAAAATATTCTCTGAGTTGCCACCTGGCAACACTAAATCTTCCTAACGGATCTTCTATCAAAGTATCCTTCTCATGTGCACAATGCATCCACTAAAGGCAAACTGATACCCCATACGCAAATACAAATACATTAATACAAACCACTATGGTGGGCTTGCATCTCTCTGAGTTGACATCTGCAAACTCTTAGGAAGGATTTTCTTTTACAAATGATGTTTTTGTTCGATGCAGTCATAACTTCAATCTCCTTGGCATTTTCAGTTCTAATTATCATGCTGTTTCCTTGTGGTTGTTTTTTTTTAACAGTTTATCAGATTTTAAATGCCCAGAGGAAGAAAAATTAGAATGCAAAGTGGAGTGGGGAAAACCCTGAATAAAAAATTGCAGAGGGTTGTTGCAGTGGATGGATATTTTGATTCCTTGTTCTCTTTCTTCCTTATGCTTTAGAGGAAACAGATGAAAATGTGACAGCCAAATCCCTCTTCAATAGCACATCCCTAGCAAGAGAAGATGGGCTCTCATCGTGCGCTCGGCAACCAGCCGTTGGGACTGCTCCAAAAATAATCCGGAGTTATGTGTATTCCAGGCCTCCCCCCTGGTCAGACGCTTTGCCCACCATATTTGTGATCACACCCACCTATACCCGGCCAGTGCAGAAGGCAGAGCTGACCCGGCTGGCCAACACTTTCCTCCATGTGCAGAACCTCCACTGGGTAGTGGTGGAGGACTCACCCAGAAGGACCAACCTAGTGTCTAATCTGCTGGAGAAGGCCGGGATAAATTTTACTCACTTGAACATTGAGACTCCTAAGAGCCTGAAAGTGGGCTTGTCCTGGATCCCATCTCATACTCCCAGAGGCACATTCCAGAGGAATCTTGGATTACATTGGTTGAGAGAAAGCTTCAGCACCATACCACCACCAGAGGGTGTAGTGTACTTTGCTGACGATGATAACACCTATAGCCTGGAGCTGTTTGAAGAGGTATGAGAACCAAGGTTGTGGCGACATCCTATTTCTGGTGCAAGATTCGGGATCCTTCAACATTTGTATGCTTCGGTCCACAGCTAGTTTTAGTGCACACTGAGATTTGTGATTGATTAGATAGAAATTTGAGCCAGCCATAGATGAAATAGATTATAGGTCAATGGCAGGGTGTGTGCTTTGTGTTTAGAGGCCCATAGGTTTAGTCCCTGCAGTTCCAGCTGAGTCTAGGGAAGACTCAAACCTGAAACCCAAGAGAGCTACTGTTAACCAGTGTAGACTGGGTTGGTTGATATTTGGCCTTCCAGATATTGCTGGATTGCAATACATAGGATTCTTCACCACTGGCTTCTCAGGCTAGTGCCAAGAAGAGGTGCTGCCTAACACCATCTGCTAGAACTGAAGTTGACTACCCTGCTCTAGATGAGTGATTCCCAACCTTAGGTAGCCCAGGTGTTCTTGGACTACAACTCCCCAGAAACCCCAGCCAGCACCGGAGTGATTAAGGATTATGGGAATTTTAATCCAAAAATACCTGGATGACCCAAGGTTGGGAATAGGTGTTCTTGGACTACAACTCCCCAGAAAGCCCAGCCAGCACCGGGGTGATTAAGGATTATGGGAATTTCAATCCAAAAACACCTGGATGACCCAAGGTTGGGAATCACTGCTCTAGGCAATACTGGCCCTATATGAGATCTCAAATGGGGAGGGTACCAGTCCTTCCAGGTAAGTTGGATGGTAGAAGAGACATGTGAGAGGATTGGTGTGCTCATTGGGAATACAGCTCCAGTTTCAAAACAGTGGTGCAACCTTTCCTTGCCAGTCACATATATTTTTGTAGCTAGTTCAGAGTTTCTCCTTGGCTTCTGCCAATGAAAAACTGGACTGGGCCAAAAGGCACAACACATGGATTAATATACAGAGAGGTTGGCCCCATAGGAGAGAGTGGAAAGGTAAAGTAAAAAGCAAGACACAGGGCTTGGTAGACTCAGAAGAGAGAAAATGGAAACAGAGGAAGAGAAGAAAAGGATGTTCAAGAGGGAAAAAGAAGCTAAATCTTAAGAGCATGGAAAAGTTACTTTTTGGACTATAACTCCCAGAATCCCCAGTGTGGAGGTAACATTGGTGGGGCATTTTGGCAGTTGTAATAAAAAAAGGTAGCTTTTCCAAGTTCTGCCAGACCTTGAGAAAACAAGTTTGTGTGTGCATGGAAGGTTGGGAAAGGTTGGAGAAATCATTAGAGGAGGCCCACAGGATTAGAAATACTTCAGTCACCATTGTGTTTTCTTTCTGACAAGCAGATGCGCTACACAAAGAAGGTATCGGTATGGCCAGTTGCCTTTGTTGGTGGTCTCAGGTATGAGTCTCCAAAAGTGAGCCCGGCAGGCAAAGTGGTGGGCTGGAAGACCGTATTCGATCCAAACCGGCCCTTTGCCATTGATATGGCTGGCTTTGCCATCAACATCAGATTGATCCTAGAGAAGCCCCAGGCCAGTTTCAAGCTGGATGGAGTGAAAGGAGGTTATCAAGAAACAAGTTTATTGAAGGACCTGGTGACAATGGATGGACTGGAGCCTAAAGCTGCCAACTGCACAAAGGTCAGCATGCCCATTGTGGTCCGGGCGATTCTGGGAACTGTAGTCCAAAAAAGTAACTTTTCCATACTCTATAGTTTTTGTTGTGTGTTTTTTTTTATTTCCAGTCACTACTCTTCTTACATAATGAGCATGAGCATGCATGCATATGCATGCGCACGCACACACATACACCAGCCAAGGGCAGTCATTGGATGAGTCATCTCTTTGGGTGCCAAGAAATCTGCTAGTTTAAAAAGTCCTGAAGATTAGGAGAAATGCCCTTCTTTTCCCTCCAGTTTATCTCTTTGGAATATTTGTGGATGATTTTTGACTTACCAGAACAGAAATGTAAAAAGAGAAGGAAAAAAATGTATCCTATCCAGCTTTCAAAGAAAGGGAGATGACTACCTTTGTACCAAGCCTTCAATAATTAGACTATACAGTCCATAGAACGAGAGGGTGATCTACAAATAAGAAAGGTATGGTAAAATATTTAAAATAAATAAATGCAAAACATACCCCTCCAGATGATTTGAGTGAATCAATCGACACGTAACTTTATTTGTTTCTTATTTCATTTATAAAGTCCAGCCACATGTCAAATCTGAATAATAGAGAGCTGTGAGGTAATCTGAACAATAATCCCTAATTCTCAGTTTTTCCAGGCATTGTTGAACTACAGCATCCATCCTCCCTGAAAACCAGCCATTGTGGCCAGCACTTTTTCTGTTGTTATTTGTTGGGTGAGCATGGATAAGGGCAAGAGACCAGTATCACCATGTCCAGAAATTGCCCCCTTTGCTTTCTGGACATGGTGATACTGGTCTGGATTGTACCACTCAACTTGGTTGTAAAATGTTTAATATAAAAGCAACACTGTTGTTGATTCAAATGACCCACATCACATCTTGTTTAATTAGACTCTGCAAAATAAGCAAAATAGGACAGAGAAGGAGATAATTAGGGTCAAACTATGCTATGGAAAGTGTGTCATTAGAAGAGAACATTCCTTAGGCTTAAAGTGCTATAGCTGGGAGCTTTTCACATCTTGCATAATTTGCAGATTACCTTGATTTGTTTTGTAATTGGCAATTGGGATGGAAATGTGGACTTTGTTTTCAAATCTGACTCCACAGAGTCTCCTGCAAACACATTTCTTGAACACATATGTGGTTTCAGACAGAATAATACATTATTTATGATGTATAGTTCAGGCCTTTGTTTCTAAAAGGGCTCCCCAAAATTACAGTCTCATCATCTGCATAGTTCATTCCCTGCTTTATGTCAAGAAGATGTTATAGAGTGCCACACATTATTCAGCTCTGATCCAAGGGTCCTTTCATTTAAGCACTTAGTCTATTCTAGAGACTTTTCAGATGGCAATCAAATACATTTGCAGATGTTTTCAGACTCAGTTGTGTGATTCTAATAAAATGAATATTCCCTTTGTAGATCTTGGTCTGGCACACAAGAACTGAAAGGCCAACACTAGTGAATGAAGGCAAGCGTGGATTCACTGATCCAAGGGTGGAGGTATAAAGAAATCATCTGATGATGTAAGTATGTTTCTTTTGATGCCTTTTGTGATTGAAGGAATGACACTTCAAACATTTTCCAGCAAAATATTCAGCTTTCAGCATTTCAGTTCTGCAATATTGAGTATCCTGATCACTCTGTTTTTGATGCACACCATAAAAGGCTTTGTTTTTCTTGGCACTAGAATTTTCTTAGTAATACAAGATTGCTGATCCTATATTAATTTTCCCCCTGTCTTTAGTACTACTTGCCTGCCTGAGTGTCAGCTTGAGGAACAGTGTTGATGATCTTGAGTTATACTGATAAACAACATAGTAGTGATTAAAGAAGCCCAAAGTGTTGACCTTTACCTAGATGTAGAAAGCCAAATGAAGAGGCCATAGGTCAGCTGTAGAGTATGTCCTTAGCATACATAAATCCCAAAATCAATCCATAATTTTGTGGACACACAGAGTAGATGATACTAAGATTAGACTTTGTCTAGAGGGGCGGGGTATAAATTCAGTAAAAGTAAAAAAGTAAAGTAAAGTAAAAGTCTCTTTGGTATAAGGTACTTCATAGTTGTAAGAAATCAGACTCTTTGCTTCCCAGCCCCAGTATCATGTATTCTATCTGGCAGCACCATGCTAAGTACAGCTCCCTTAAATTGTAAGAGGGGTCGTTGTTCTACTACAAGCTTTTCTGACTTCTGCATCTTGCAGACTGGCTTGCTTTATTTTATGATTGATCATCTGGAAGCCTTTGTTTAGTAATCTGATTGGTCAAGCACAAAGCTCCAATGACATTCTCCGATGACATCTCTGGTGTGAAAAAGCTTCTAACAGTAAGCTGAGTGTCTCCTGCAGTTGTTGATATGGAAGCTCACAATTCAATGGGAACAATCTATATGGTGAAGCAATGTGTCTATAATGTTAGCTGATCAAATCCCATTATAGTTTAGATCCCAAAATCCTGTCTAACATGAAGGAACTGACAGAGGGAAAGTTTTCCATTCCCTTCTCCCCCCCAATTTTAAAATTGATTAATTACACTGTACAAGATTAAAAGCTTGATGGAACAGTTAAGGAGTGTCCGTATGAAGTCAAATAAGGAAGGAAGCAATTTCAACATCTACAGAAGGGTGTTCCATTATTTGGGTGTTTTTAGAGGGAAAGTCTTGATTATTTTATTTGTTGATTTATTTGTCTGCTGTTAAATCTCAGAATGTTGAACTGGGACTTGGGGAAGTAGAGGTTCCAGAGCCATGGTGAAGTGCAGTATGTGATTTTGAGCTAGACATGCTCTCCATCTGAGCTATCTTGTTATGAAGATAAAGTGAGTAGGAAGAAAAGTATCACTTAAATTTTAACTCAAGAACAGCAATAATGCACTCATTGATATAATAAAGCCTCAGAACAGTTTACATTAAAAGCACAGGAAATGTAAAATAAAAACAAAAACTATGCCAATATAATAGGGCCTCCTTTATGGTGCTTGTGCAGTGGTCATTAAAACCAGTTTAGATGCATTTACCTCTCAGTTTCATTATTGTGTTTAGAATTCACTAGAATAAATTGAAGATAACTAAATAATCCTTTAAGCGTATCCTTTTGGATTTCAATTTCAATTTACAGCTTGATTCAACTTTGTTTAAAGGTAATCCTGTATTAGAAGTCAGTCTTCAACAGCAAGTGCTAAAACACACACACACCAGATTTGGCTGGATGTATATAGAGTCAGAGCAATTCCCAGGACAATATATAATAATCAAACTCTTCTTACATACTTGCTACCCACAGGGCTTCTTGTAGCTGCCTCTCTCACATAACCACAGTTGATGCAGGGAGAGAGCATTTAGTAATCCAGTGAGAGGAACCCTGATGACAAAGGCAGAGAAAGTTTGATTTCCTTTTAATAGTTAAACTTGCCCGAAGGCAATAATCTGAAACTACCTACAGTATGTGTAGCAGTACAGAATAATAACAACAACAACAACAACAACAACAACAACAACAACAACAACAACAACAACAACAACAACAACAACAACAACAACAACAACAACAACAACAACAACAACAACAACAACAACAACAACAACAACAATAATAAGAAATAAGAAATAAGAAATAAGAAAATGAAAAGAAGATAAATGGTTTATGCTGCAGGGTGGGTGGGATTGAATTAAATTGTCTTCGAGAACTGAAATGCTAAAGACTTATTGCCTGGACATTGCCTGATTTGTTACCGTCAGTCTTGTAGCCTGTAGAGGTTATGAGTAATGAAGCAAAACAGAAGCCAAAGCGGTATGATTAATTCAAACATTTGGGAAGGGGTAGAAGGGGCTTGTGGGAGCATCCCAGGCCTGCAAAAATGAGCTTGGGGCCCTGTAAAAGGAGAGTCTCCTCTTTTGCTTTAATGTGTTGGCAGGCTGATAGGAAGGAGGACTTTTCTGTATGTCCGTGCCATGACATTCCATTTTGAACCCCTCTCTTGCTCCACATGATTGGTTGTTGATCATGGTGGGAAGGAAATGGGGGCCAACAAAGGAAATTAAAATTTCCCGTGCTCAGGATATAAGCTCGTTGCTCAGGGGCAGAACACATGCTTCGCAGGCAGAAACTCTGTGGTTCAAGATGTAGCACTTCCAGAGAAGTTTTGTATCGAGTCAAAGGCTTTTATTTTGCACTTTTTTTATAGTCACATGGTGCTCGTGGTGGTGCATGAGAAAGCCTTTTTGGGTTCTCTCTAACCGCTACCCAACCCCATCACACAGAATGCAGTGTGTCATAGAGAAGTTTGATTTAGCTTAGCTACTATCTGCATTCTCTCTAAGGAGATCTGTCTCATATTTTGAGAACCCCGGGGCTAAATGGGCCATTTGCAAGATGTTCTTCAACTACAGGATTGAAAATATTCATTTGTGGAGAGGTTTTTTGTGTTTGCTTCCCCAATCCTCAAAATGCCTTCCAGAAGAATCAAAAGACAAATGGGTTGCTGTTTTATGAGTACATAATAAGCACCCCCCCAAAAAGGAGGGAGAAATGCTTCTCTCTACCTCCACCCTTTTGTCATATTGTATGCAAGAGTTTTGTCTCCATTCTACATCACTGAAGCAAAATGCTTGCTTATGCCTGCCACGCGCATGCAAATCTGAGAATTGCCTTTGAGTTCCCCATAAATATCTTTTGTCTCTCTTCTGGGAGGATTTATTGATTGGACGTACTGCATAAATAAATATCCTTAACTGTGGGAGTGAAACATGGTAGTTTCCCATTCTTTTTATGGTGTAATTTCTGAGCTGTGTAACAATTTAATAAATATTCCCACAGAATTGAGACCAGTTTTGTGGTCTGGGACCTAAATCCAAGGAAGTAATCCATTTTTCCTCCATGCTTTAGCAATCCTTCTCTGAAGCAAAAGCAAAAGTCTGCTGCTTATATATACTGCCCCATAATGCTTAGAGCACTTTTGGGGCAGTTTAAAATTTAGTTATGCAGGCCACACTTTGCCCCCCCACCCCATGTGCTGTACATTCAATTTACTGACTTTAGAATGGTGGAAGGCTGAGTCAACCTTGAGCCAACTACCTGAATCCAATGGGATCGAACTCAGCTTGTGAGCAGAGTCATGTCTGCAGTACTGCAGTTTAACCACTGTGCCACAAGGCTCTGCTGTGTAACCAATGAAATCAGTGTTAGTTTTTAAGACAAGATATCACCAGAGCTAACTCTATAAATCTTGAACAAACTATTAGAAAAAAAAAACAATAATTGAATTATAATTATACATAATGTAAACGATACACTTGGGTTGTCCATATCTTTGAAATCTGGGGAAGATATTACAATTGTTTCTGAATTCTGATAAAGAAAAAAATATTGGTAAACTACAGGGTGGCTCTTCGTTAAATGATTCAGCTGATCCTGACCAAGATTATCCAAAGGGAATTAGAATGTCAGAGGAGAACCGGAGAGACCAAATCGCCCTTTTAGTCATCGGGTTTATGGGTGGAAATAAACTCAGGTTCAAACTTAGGTTGTGAGCAGAGTCATCACTGCAGTACGCCAGTTTAACCACTGCACCACAAGTATAAAACTTATGATTTGGCCTACGATTACCATTAGCTGCACTCAGCGTAGATACCAGGAAGAGATTGTGGGAATCTATGCAAGGGCATCCACAAGTGGCAGAGTGTTTTAATGATACCTATGGATTGTTGACCTGGTGGTAGTTTTTACCTATGTACATTTTTAAGAATGCCAAGTTTGGAATTCCATGGGGCAAGCACCCTCCCCTGTCGACACCCGTGTTCCCACCCCTGAATTTTTACTCGATTTCTAATTTCTCATTCTTACTGGATCTAGTCAGCTTCACAGAGCTGTGATGATTACAAAATAGGGAGGAGAGAACAGTGTATACAGCCCTGAACTCTTTGCAGGGAGAATTAATACAAACGGTGATGATGATCACCATGAAATCAGTTCCCTGGGGGCTTTGAAGTTGCCTTTCCTAAACAGCAGCTTTCTTTTGTTTGTGAGAGAACAGCTTTTGGAGCAGAGCAGGTTTCAAAGGAAGTTTGCCATATGGTTTTGGGAGCACTCCACTGTTCAAAGAGAAAACGCAGTAATTGCACTGCATAACTGGTAGTTCAGTGTATGAGTCTGTGTAGGTTTCTTTGGATCCCTGCTATTGCTTAGCTGATGGAGTCTCACGACATATATTGCATTCCTACATTTGTTCCTTTAAAATCTCTTTGTGTGTGTGTGTGTTTTTTTCTTTTGCAGTCGCTTCTCATGTCTCTGCACTTGTTCAGCAGCATACAGACGCAACAATCAAGAATAACACCCTACTTATCTTCATATCTAGCAGCTTCCAGCTTCCCTAAAGCCATGAAAGAAACTAACAAACAAACCAACAAAAATGAAAGTCATGTCCAAGTCTGTTTTCTTTGTACTCTGGCCAGTCACTACACTACAAGGAAAACACATTTCTGCATTTACATTTATTTGCTGGAAGATGTTTTAAGGAATATAAGCAGTTATCTGGGGAAAGAAATAACCCACCAGTAACAAAACCATCTGGGACAATGTAAGAAGAGCCAGCTTTGCATGGAGAACAGGATTCTCTTTGCTAACCCCACATCTCTAAATAAACATTTGAAGCCCTGTTTTGTGAAGTGCTGTGACACTAACTTCTGCAAAGCTGTTCCAGTGCCTGGCAGTTCAAAAGGAGGGCATCCTTGCAGCATTAACACTGGACGACACTAGCATCCTTTGCAGTAAAAGATGCTCTCAGAATAGCTTGAACCCTCAATCAATCTGAGGATTCCTCCTACCCTCGTTAATCACACAGAGAGAAAAATAATGGGCATTTCTTGTTCAGAAATACACAAAGCTCATTTTCCTACATCCATCCCCTTCTTCACATCCAAAGTGCAGTACGAGGATCCAGCTGTTCTTGTGTGTGTATAACAAACCGAACTAGAAAGCGAGGGCCATTCCGTTCAAGAGTTTCAGCAGCTCACCAGGCTCAGATCTTCATGTGCAAGGTTGTTTTCCCTGGGAGACAGAGGCAACTACTTCCAGTCCAGTGTTTCTTCACCTTTCTCAATTGATGGGGTGAGACATCGGGCAACAGCTATATCATGGCTTTCCAGATGCAGGATCACATGGCTGACCATCGTTGGAAAGAGGATGTGGCATTCTGAGGCATCTTTCGCCTGATCCAGCAGAGGTACTCTTGTGTTCTTGCAGCATTGCAGGTCACTTGCAGATCGCATTCTGGAATGGCTGCCATACCAGCATGATCAATTTCAGCTCACTGCCTGGCTAGACTGCCATGATCTCCAAATGAACAACGTGTTTGGAGTGAGCAGAGCCATGCTGCGTCATAAACACCAAGTATATCACAGGTGATTATGGCAAACAATGACAACAGTATTATCCAGGAACAGAACTAGGAGAATGGTAGAGGGAAATGGCTGCTACGCATCCTGGTTGGCAAAACAGAAATAGCCATCCAGTGTAAAGCATAAATGGAAAACAGAAGTAACTGCTGAAAACCAACAGTCACACTTGTAGTTGAAGAAATATTGTCAGGACATCCACAAACCTTGGGACCAGAGGAAAATTAAAAACAAATGGATTACTAGGCCATGGCGTCAAAAGGTTTAATGGCTTGAAGACAGCACAACCGCTTTGTTCCTATAGTGGGCTCTGCTCATGTAACAAAAAAAGCACACCTCTGGAGTTCCGTATGTGCTGGAAGTTCTCAGAATTGAGGAAGTTGAAGGGGGACATTTTTCTAATCAACCTTGAAAAGGATTCTTCGATGTGAACAGGACACTGATTTGTTTCGTAACTTATTTATAACATGGGTCTTTTCTGCCTATTTCCTTTGTATTAACCTGGATGATCTGGCATGTTTGTGAGGACTCCCATCCATCAACCCCACCCCCAATCCTCATCCAAATCTCAGTAGGGAATAACAAATTTTCTACTCACAGCTGAAATGTCATACTATATATTTCATGCTCACTGTATTAAAGAGGGCACGGGGGGACCTGGTGTCTTAAATCAGCAAAATAATTAGAAGCACAGTAATAAGGAAAGTATGTAATTTTAAAAAAGAAAGAATGTGTATGGGACTTGAGACTGGCAGACAAGGATTGTTAAGGTTTTCAGTTATTACACCAGCTATGACCACAGCAGTCACCTCATAATAGGATGAGCACCCGGAAATTTTCTACAAACTTTTTTTTAAAGGAAATTTTTATAAAGGCCATTCTGTAACAATTGATATCCAATTGGGAAATTATGGATCTCTCAAGACTGGCTTTTCTGGATATGGCTGATGGGAATTGTAGTCCAATGTCCACCCTGCATTGTTAATAAGCATCATTTTTATCATTTTCCCGTGAGTAGACTGAAGATCAGATGCTAAAAAGAAATACTTGAAATAGAAATGCTGTACCTTCTCCACCCCACACAAGGCTGATGTTAAGTTTGAGAGGACTGAGTCCATGTTTTATTCAACCCATGCTCACTGCTTTAGCTATAAAGGGTTTGGAGTAAACTTTTTCTGCTACAAGGAGCATCTGCAGGAGGAGTAATCAGGCAGATTTCCCTTGCTAAGGCAAGTTGGTAGTACCCAGAGACTGCGACAAGATCCTTGATGGTGCCTGCCCAGAATTGTTTCTTTTGATTAAAGATGCACATAATTGATTGTGTAACAAAACTGCAGTCATTTGCTAAATTTAACTTCTCATAGACATGTTAAAAGCAATGTTTGAAACTGCCATTGTATAGCACAATGATACATACCAGAATGGGTATCCTCTGGAGAGACACGGATCTCTATATGGCTGAGGGAAAGCGGGGCTTGCTGGAGCTTCTGGGAAATGTAGTCCAATAAAGGTGCAAGCTATGTCCCTGCTGCCTTTCTTTACGTGAGCAGTTTTTTCACCACAGTTGTCAAGTGGTGAGTTTTTTTTCTTACTAGCCTGCTTCTATGCTTTTAAAAGCAATTCAGCATATAAAAATTGAGCCTTATCACTTTAAGATGATACAAGAGAAGGTATTATGTGCATTCTTTCTCTATATTGGATAACTATTCCGTGGAAAAATCAAAATAAAACTTTAAAATCTGGTAACTCTGCATCTTATATTCATGTGCCTTATAATGTGATCCTGAAATGCTTACTCAGAAGTAATTCAATGGCAATTACTTCCACTTTACTAAGGATAGGATTGTTGCTGCCTTAAGGAACTAGCAGACATCACTGGCCCTGTTGCAGCTTACATGTTGCATGCAACTGCTCTGGGTTTTTTCCCCCTGGAAGGTTTCTGTTCCTTAGACCTCTGGTTAAGAAACTAGTCCTCAGAAAGTAGAAGTGTACCATTGATATTTGTAGTCCACAGGGTCCCCACAAATAGGGTTCAGTTTCTTTTTTTAGCCCTATCTGGAGATATGGAAAACTCGAAGATCAGAACTTGGACAGCTGCCACTTTGGATTAGAGTTCCCAGAATATTGCAGCCCAGCCCACCCCCTGGACAGTGATCATCTTGTCTGGGCGACTCTGGGAGCTGTAGTCCAAAAAAGAACCTAACTTCCACAAAACTCTGAGGAAGGCAAGAGCCTAGAATGTTAGCAGGACTGTCTATGAAGAAAAAGAGGTGATGCTCCCAGCAAGAATTGTGAGAAAGCAAGGTTTGTGAATCTGGGAAGGGACACCAGTCAGGAGATGGAGCATCCTGTTCGTTCTTTATGCTGGCTGATGCACAATCCAGTTTCTATTAGAAGGGGGATTCAACTCTAACCTTTGTGGCCTGCAGGGTTGCACCTGGTATAGCCTGAGGAACAATGGCAGTGCATACACAGTCTTCCCTTCCCTTACAACGCTCACAGGTCTTAGTGCAGTCTTAACCCATGGCAATCTCTACTGAGACTCTATCCACTTCTGCCTACCAGTGGCAGGCAAATGGGATCTTGAATTTTGTTTCTACTAACACGCTCGGCTGTTGGGAAAGCAGATAAGGGGGCATGTCTGATTTTTTGGGGGGGAGGGCACTGAGAGCAACATGCATCCCCACAGCCCCAGATTGTGCATTCTTGTTCTGCAAAATAGAAAGAAAAATGAACTGTGCGACTGAAGACAATGGGCAGGAGAAGTATTAGCCAACTGACCTCTATGAAGAAAGACTCAGAACCGTAACATTGGAAGGATGGCGGAAGAATTGACAGAGGAGTTTCCTGTTCGAGAAAGGAGTGGCTTCAAAAGACTTGTGCAGAGAAGCTCTCTGACATCTCCTTGGGGCCAGTGCTTCAGTCCTTGAATTTCATGAATACTATTAACTTTTCTGTATTGTAAGGCAGGGGGGAAATATGCATTGTTAATAAGAGCAACAGAATGTCAATGAAGCATTTTTGATGTTTATTTATGGTGGAGGGGGGGTTCTTGGCTATTATTAAACATGGTATGAAAACAGCACAGCTGCTCTCCTCTGGGAAAAACGTAGTTGCTTTTCTAAATGAAGAATAATCTTAGTGGTACAGTATACTGGAAATCTCAAGTTGGCTGGGTTGGAGCACCAGGGATTGTGAATCCTATTCTCCATTGCATCTGCCAGGAGAAGAGCCACCCTATGTGACCTTTGGCAAGCTACTTGGTTCCAAAACAACACCAGAGGGAAGAAATAGTAAATTACTTCTTAGTACTTTGTACCTAGAAAAGGCTGAAAGACTAGAGCAATTTGACAGCATGTAATCATTGATTAATGATTTATTTTACAAACGTATCTTCTGTAAGCAAAGCATATTGGGAACAAATAAGAACACCTTTGGAGAGCAGAAGATTTCTTATAGACAATTTGTGTAGCAATTTGCCCGGAGACTAATTAGGTCCCCAAAGATCCAATGCCTGAACTTATCTGCACTTCTAATTCCAGCCACATCACTAGGTGCATGCTCTTAGTTCTGTCTCATCTCTAGAATTTCTCCAGTCTTTGTTAATTCCATTAACATGCAATTTCTAGTTCATTTCATTAGCTATGTCTCTGACCCTATCAGCTGTAGGCGTGTTGCATTCTTTAGGCTTTGATAGATCCTGCATTTCAAAATCAGGAGCAAGACATTCAGTATAAAGAATTATCCTGGTACAGCAATCACCCCCTCAAAATAAAAAAAAAGGAAGGGAGGAATGGGGAGCATTAAGAAAAAAATTGTTCACAAGGCCATCCTTATTCTTCCAATTCTGAAACAGTTTTTTCAAATGCAGTTTCCTTAAGCCTACCTTTCTGGTATAATGAGTGCTAAAAACTCAACGTATGTAAAAACTCAACATAGAGTGTCTACCATTTCCAAAACTTGGATGGGACGTATCCACAGGTTAATTAAAAAATGCACAAGAAAAGTTCAAAAGAGTTTGATAGGTTCAGCTTCAAATACCTGAAAAGCTGTTGTGGGGACAACAGAGCACACTTGTAAGCGGCTATCTGCTGTCCTTCCTAATGTTGTGAATGAAACACGTTGTCTCAGGAGGAAGATGCTGGGGAGCTTAAATGAGAGACTGTAAGAGATACTGTGGCTGCATCCTCTGTAGCCCCTCTATTTCCAGATAATGAAGATGAAACAATAAGGGAGGTCAATTGTTTTCACGCCATACTTACCCACTTGCAAAATTCAGAAGCACTTGGCAAGCTGCTGTGAAAACGGATCTAAAAGGGCCTTTGGTCTGTGATATGTTTCCCCCCCAGAGACTGGAGATAGAGAAAATATGCCAGTCATACGCAATGAATTTTTGTTAGTTTGTTTAATAACAAGAGCTTGACAGTTTCATTTCAAAAGCAGTAAGTGGAAACAACATTGGCTGTTTTGATGTAATATATTATTTTAAGAGCAGTTTAAGGCATTGTGTCAGGAATGTTTCATGTTTCTGTATTAAACCTTCCATGGTTTTCAAACGGCAAATAAACAGCACGCATATTGCTGGGGTGAGTGAGGGTGGAGGGATGCTGCACACCAGTGGAAAAACTTAGTTGCATTAGGTGCTATGCTCTAGGATAGTCTTCTGGGGCCTGTGACTTTCCAGGCTGAAGGGTTACAAATCCTATGGTCCCTAGACAGCAACTGGACTGTAGGATCTGAATGCACCTGGAAAGTGTCAGGTCAGGAAAGGCAACATAAAATTCCACAAACAGCCCTTATGAAGGAGCCAACAACAAAATACGCCACTTTCTGGCAACCATGCCAGCCAAAATATGATGTGCCATTTTCCAGTAATAACATTGATAACTGAAATTTCAAGTAGTTATGCACATCAAGAATTTTCTCCCATCCTAAGCAAATGTACATGGATTAGGCAAGAAACAGATATGAGAAATACCGTGATTGGAGAAGGGAAATCCTTAACTAATGAAAGCATCTGAGTGTCGCAGTGTGTGTTTCCCGCACTTCTGGAAGTACATGTTAGCCTGCTTTCCTTGGTGATTAATCTTCAGGACTTAAGCATGAGATTCCCTTGGAGTCTGATTCCACAAATGTGAAAGAATGTTTCAGTTACCTCTCCATACCATAACATAACGAGGAACAGGCAACAATGAAGAAATTAGAAAAGATCATCAAGTGTAAGATCATCCACACTCTTCTATTTCTGATCACCATGTATGAGTGTGAAAACTGGATAGTAAGGACAGGGGGGGAAGTTAATTCATTGGAAATGTGGTGCTGGAGGAGAGCTTTGCAGATACCCTGGACTGGCAGGAAGATGGACAAGAGGGTCCCAGATCAAATCAAGTCTGTACTGTCTTTGGAGGCAAAAATGTTGAAACTGAGGTTGTCCTACTTTGGGAACATTGTGAGAAAACAGGATTCTGTGGAAAAGACAATGTTGCTAGGAAAGGTGGAGGGTTATCCGGAAAAGAGGGAGACCAAATACAAGATGGATTGGCTCATTGAAGGAAGACGCAGGATTGAGTTTGCAAGTGCTGAGCAGGACTGTTGAGGATAGGACATTTTAGAGATTGCTCATTCATGAGGTTGCCATGAGTCAGAGACGACTAGATGGTATCATAACAACAACAACCAAAATATACTTTGGAGTCTAATTACATCCATCTTTAAGATCTGTTTCTGGCCTCAGATTTTTAGAGCTCTCTTCTTCTTTCTCTCCTACTGAAGACTGAGCATCATAATGACAATGTGAACTTTGGAAATAGCAACTTTAACAATGCCACGTATCCTTACCAATCTCCAAAGCTTTTCAGCCAGGAGATTTTTCTCCCTCTCATTTATTTATTCATTCATTCATTCATTCATTCATTCATTCATTCATTCATTCATTCATTCATTCATTCATTTATTTATTTATTTATTTGGATTTTTACCCCGCCCCTCTAGACAATGTCTACTCAGGGCGGCATACAATTAAAAGACATTAATATATACATATAAAATCATAAATTTTTTCAGTATTTACAATTATAATTACATTTACAATTTAAGCAGTGGATTTCCGACCAAGACGTTGCCAAGATGGCATGGCATGAAGAAAAAGAAAAAAGAAGTTAGGAATAGAAATCACTTAATTGACTGGAGGGAAGGCCTGTTTAAATAGCC